GGTTCTTCTTCTTCACAACCCTTTTATTTCTCATAGACATCTGTGGGCCATTTGATTAAAACTTGTTTTCATTCTAATTGTCTTTTGCTTGACACACCTTCCCTCCCACTCACAAGCACATGTACACAAAAGAATCACTGCACTTGACATCTGAATAGGCTGAGCACAGAATTCTAAAAAGAGACCCTTAATGGAATGCCTCGGTTACTTCATGTTAGGGGCACTAATGGCTGCCCTCAAAACCTTCTCATTATTTACCTCTGGACCCAATCTGTCCCACTAATGCTTTCACTAAAGTCATCATTGTGAAGAAAGAATAAAAAAGGCACCACTTCTGGTGCAAGAGACATGCTGTTAAGGCACAGAGGATAGTTCAAGGTTGCATTTTAGACTCTAATAGAGTTATTCGACCATCTTTATGGAAAAGGCTGAGGTTACTTCCATGTTAATTGATGCAATTTAGCTACTCATTCAAAGATGAATGTGGAGGTGCTCATAATTTCCATTGGGTTAAGTGTAAGTCACTCAAATGACATGAAAATGATGGCTTGATGGCATCTTTTGCGGAGATCTCAGTGTGGATAAAAGCTAGATTCTAATCAAAATTAACATTTGGATTGCAAAAGGAGGGCAGTCCCTTCTCATTAAATGGTGATTTGCCTTTAGGCATTGTTTGACAAAATCACTTCTTATTTGAGGAGACACTACATCGAGTGACAACATACAGCAACAGATATTTCCTAAAAGACTTAAAAAAAAAACCCATTGCTCTGATCGGCTTACGGTAAGCATGCCAAACTTTAACAGGCTTGTCAATGTGCACAAAATCACAAACAGGTTGACAAATTAGCCAACTGTCTTAAACCCATTAGCAAGATCCGGAAAAGCCTCAGGGGTGTCAATTTCATTCCTTTGCCCGGTCTTGGATTTCCGATTCTGGCCTATGGCAAAGGCACTTTCCTCGTACACCCGCTTAGGGGCTGGTCCCAGACAGCACTGGACAAATAGGATGAGAAGCAAGGGAAGCAGGGCTAGCCACTGTGGCTTTTTGATAGAGGGACAGATCCAGTTGGTCATGCCTACACAGAAGGGGCTTGCTGTGGGAGAGGGATTACAAAGCCAAGGACAGCATCAGTACTGTAGCTCAACTGGATAACCCAAGGCCATGGTCACATACAGAACATCATCGTGACAAAGTTGGAAAAGAAATCAGAGGAATTCTGCGAGTACATCTTACTGAAAACTTTATGCAAATGTCCTTTTAGAAGGTATTGGAATATATGCATGCAGATTGTAAAGCATCCTTTCTCAAAACATTCATCATTCATCAAACCTCATCCAGTCTCATGATTGGAGTGCACTTGCCAACAAAATGGAATGTTGCTGGCAGTGTGTTGAGGCACACCTGGTGCATATTGCACCTTGTCCACTATTGTGTGTCTGCTATTTATGACCCTGGTTTCACAACAGTCCATTCACAAGGCATTCCTCAAAACCACTTCTATGCCTGACTCTTTGCATAGACTTTATAATGGCTGTATAAGTGAGGGCATTCAATCTCTAGACTGAATCAATATAAAAAATGACACAAATGAATTACAACATAAATAATTAAATTTCCTTTAAACTTTTGAAATAAATGTTGATACTGTAACTTTCACAATTCAAAACATAGTCTAAAATGATAATTTATTGAATCTAACCTGCAAAAAGGGTAAGTGAAAGGGCTCGGAAAAGTATCTTTGAAAGCAATTATTTTGGGGTTAAGGGAAATGTATTGAATTTGAAATGACTAAATAGTGAACATGTTTGTTTAAATTTGAAATTGAAAACGTATGCTTTAATTTAAAAACTATTTTAAAATATTTCATCTACTCAGACAAGAAATTAATAACACTTTGTGCTAAATATGGAACTAACTTCCGTTAAATTGTATACAATCAGCAAAATGTTTGCTCTATGAACGCAATAATAAACTTTCAAAAACTGGGTACAATGAGGTGACATTATTCTACTCACCCTTCAACCATCCAACATTAAAAGGAAATTAACACGTATAAAATCATTAATACATTATTTCAACATACCATGAATAACCCCTAAAGCTAGATTATTTCTACATAAATATTACAGACGTCTGATATCATTGTAGTAATATGCGTCTATATTACATAGCAATTACCTTTTAAAGCATCAGTGTGAAAACAAACCTGGAAAGAGACTTCAGGATTTGGGGAGAGATTCCAGCATTCCAGAGAATTATTCAGAGGATATATCGTAAATTGAATCAAGAGAGAGCAGACCAAAAATGCGAAGTATACTGTATGTTGTCTTTCAGTGCTGAAAAGAGTTCTTCCATGGCTATACTTGTTATATCACGTTGCATTTAAAAATAAATAAATAAATAGAATTTAAAATAAAACAAGCGTTACATTATTCTCTTGACTTCTGAAAATAGAACATGAAGGAAAATTTACAGCTCATTCAGTCAAACTGATGAATAAGCATTACTTGTAGAAGTGTAAACATATGATTTGAAATAATTTGTTTCAGCCTTTGTGAACTTACCCAAACCTCCCATAATTTAAAACACAGTACGCTAGTTCGGAAAAAGGTGGAAGTTTTATTTGTTTGTGTGGTGGGGAGGGGGGTAGCCATTTTCCCATTATTGTGGTGAATCACAGATTTCAAAAAGGATGTACAAGGCCTCCTTTGGTTTGGCAGGATACATTTGAAAATGGCATTTGTGGCAAACTGCAAAAAGTAATTGTAGTTCACAGCATGGTGCACCATAATAAGAGCCTGGATCCAAGGCATTCAATGTGAAACCTGCAATAAAATGCTGACAATAACAGAGGAACAGTCAACCATCATGGAAATTCTGCAATTTTGTTGTTGACCTCCTAACATTTTTTTTCATTGAGCGTGCATTTTCAGCAATGTGTTTTGCTGCAGACATCACAGGTATAAGAGAGTCAGGAGATTAAAAAAATTTCCGTGCTGTTTTGATGTATTTTAAAGAGCTGGCAGTCAAAATTAAAACTGCTGGATGATAGATATTCTTCATTCTTTATGACAAATAAGATAATGTGAATTACAGAATGTACAACGTTTTTAAAATGTATAAATTGCGGTGTACAGCATTTATTATGAGGGGGTAGAATCCACAGCCCAGTACTCACTACTCAATACTCATGAGTACTTTTAAATAGGCTACTCTTTCACTCTTACTCAAGTAGTTTTTTGGACAAGTACTTTTATTCTACTCCCACTACATTTTTTGGAAGCTAATGGTACTTTTACTTGAGTATATTTTGTCAGTACTCTTTCCACCACTATATATACTTACATACCTAAGTATTAGATTAATACTTGGCCACATGATCTGGACAGTTTTGTATTTGTGTTGGGCTAGACACTCCGGATCATTCAACAAGGATTGTTGCAGTTCCCGGTATGTTGTTCAAAGTAAGACCCTCACTAATCCTTTGCTGTATTAAATGGTGAAGCCAGTGAGAGCCACACACAAAAATGTAGGTCACCCCTCCAAAAATCCAATGGAAATATCAGAAGGCTGAGCGATGGTGACAAAAAGATCGTGTCAGGCTCACAGCTAGCTGCTGTCACTAAAACACTTCCAACTGTACCCCTAACACACCTCAGCAGGATGTATGGAAGGAAAGGGTGCTCACACTGATGTCACCACAGCGGATTAAGCAGCAAAATTATAAACTAGCAACAATCCCCAAAGCAGTCTATGATGACAGTTATGACTTCTAGGGGAGCAGTAAAGTAAACAGGGAACCTAAAAAGCATTACAGGGCAGATTAGTTGAAAAGAGCGGTAAACAAATTAATAAATAATAATAATAATAATAAATAATGTCTAAGATGTTTGTTTTTTTTCAGGATGGAAGGTTAATTTATTTATTCTGTAGAATGCACAAGGAAATTTTAAAGGGATAGTGCACTGAAAAAAAATGAAAATTGTCATTGTTTACTCACCATCATGTTGTTCCAAACCTGTATGACTTTCTTTCTTCTGTGTAACCCAAAATAATATTCAATGAGGTGTAATTTTAATTTTGATAATTGTTGGTAACCAAACAGTTTCTGTTCCCATTGACTTACATTGTATTTTGTCCTTCCAAAGGAAGTCAATGGGAACTGAAACTGCTTGGCTATCAACATTCTTCAAAAATCTTTGACATGCTAAAGAAGAAAGTCAGTCATACAAAGTCATACAAATATGCTCCAAAAATGGCAATCAACACCATAAAAGCACCATTAATTTAACAGTCTCTAGTTACCATTCACTTCCATTCAACAGAAAAGATCAGCATGAACAAACTGTCAAATATCTCCTTGTCCATGAATGAAAGACGATCATACAAGTTAGGGTGTCCTTTTTGGGTGAATGATTCCTTTAATACACCAAAGTTAACTAAGGATTAAACTATTGTGTGAAAAATAAACATCCACAGCTTTGGCTCAAGCAATCAGCCAAAACTAAACCTCAGGAATTTAATGTAATACAGTCACATAATCTTTTATGTACCTTTTATACTGGCCTGTAAGAGGATGGATCATGTAGGCAACCATAAACCATACAGATACATATCTGCGGAGAAGGAGATCAGCATAAAGGATAAGAGTATAAAGTAATATCTAGGCTCAATGAAAAGTTTCACATTATTCTATGTGAATGTATTACATTGTATTTGTTTTTGAGTTATAGGACACGACTGTCATGCTTTTGAACAAAACAACCAGATTTCCCATTGGGAATGTATCTCTCTCTCTCTCTCTCTCTCTCTCTCTCTCTCTCTCTATATTTCCGTACACATACAGTATCAAAAACTAGCTATTGTTTTTGTCCTTCAGATATTAAGTGTTTGGGAGCTGAAGCATGAATTGAAAACACAATGTAGCTAAATCCTAAAATGTAACAGTTCAGATATGTTTCACACATTTATTGAAACATTTCCGAAATATGCAATGGCTCTGTGTAATTTGTGGCTTGTCAATGACCTGGTACTTCTAGACGGCACATGACTGTATGACTTTCTTTCTTCTGTGGAACACAAAAGAAGATTAAATGAAGATGTGAGTTATTTTGGGCAAACTGGTAACCAGTGCTTTCCATTGACTTCATTGTATTTTGTCCTTCCAATGGAAGTTATTGGGAACTTAAACTGTTTGGTTACCAAGATTCTTCTTCAAAAAAATTTTTTTTTACGTCCTACAGAAGAAAGTCATACACATTTGGAACGACACGAGAGTAAGGAAATGTGTTTCAAACATTTATTGAAAAGTTTTTGAAATATGAAACGGCCTGGTACTTCTAGAAGATCTATCAATTAGTTTCATAAACAAAGCTTCAGTCAGGACACACTTAAACCCGCTAGAAATTGATTGGAATCCTTTCAGTCTTGGTATTGATAGTAATAAATATGTCATATCTAAGTGAATAGTTGTGAGGATAAAAAAATACATATTGATTTCATTTCTTTGCGATGCCACACTCTAATTTTATAACTGCATATTAACAGCCACATTCATCAAAACTTGTCTTTAGTGCCAAATCCTCCTTTTGTCTTTAATACGTATATTCAGCAATCATTAACTAATGTTTTTTTTAATCAAAACATGCAAAAGCTGCAAGAGAAAGAAAGAATAAAGGAAAAGAAAGTCGTTTGATGACAGGCTGATGGTAATAGTGTCTAATTGTGCTCACTGTCAGGAAGATAATCCCTTTGGCTCTCAGATGAAATGTTAATTTTCAAAGAAGGAGACGTGAGAGAAACATTCTGAATTGAGGTCAGGTCACGCACATACACAATACTAAGAATTGTATTTGAGACTTTATTGGTCAATTTCATTTGTTTCAGAATGACGACAAAAGAGCGGTAATGTAGTCTGGTATGGCATCTCTTTGGTGCAGGTTCCAGTGGTTATAATGACCGCCATTAGGGCTGATGGGAAATTAACCTCAGTCCATCAACTCCAATCACTGCATTCACACTAGACCTCAATCTCCATTTGAGATGATACATCCATACAAATTTATTCTGGGAT